CCCTAAACAATTTGCATGTAAGTGTGAAAAGAAGTGAAGAAGGGTGCTTCAGAATCTAGAGGATTATCACTCCATCAGTTAATGTTATTTTTTAATTCCTATTTGAGGATAATCTTGCAGGATTGTTTGACTGTTTTTTGATGAATTAAAAAACCCTAACCAAGCAAAAAACCTAACAACAACAACAACAAAAAAAAAAACCCAAACCAAACCCCCAAATGTTTGGTTTTCTAAGTTCCTGTTATACAGAGGAAAAAACCCTCAAGGTTTAATGTTTACAATCACAGTACAAAATCTAGTCAAATATAATAATGCTGTAGGAGATATGACTATTAGTAATGCATTGCTGTCAAAATTGCATGTCTCGTCATAGATTATAAAGATCCCTGTAATGATGGAAGTTTGTTAGTTTTTGTTGTCTTTGAACAGACTTAAAAAGGGTAGATACATCTTTCCATTGCTGCCATTAAAGTGCCAAGACTGCTTCCTCATGGAAATGTGTCATCCATTAACATTTTGGTTTTATTTCAGCTGTGCTACAAAATAAGCATTGTTTGTTGTTTGTTGTTTGTTGTTTTTTTTTTTCTTTTTTGTTTGTTTGGGGTTTTTTTTGTTCCCTAAGGAGTGATTTTGACTTTTCAGGAAGGTGGGACAATCTAAGAGTCCAAATGGGGGCGTTTGTTATTTTGGGGGGATGAGGGAGTTGCCTTCTTAATTTCGGTTTTATTCCTGCATTGCAAGAATAGAGAGGGTGACAAGTGGTAGACAATTCAATGATTTTAGGACTGCAGTATCTGGTCTGGGACTAGATAAAAGCAGTGTGAAGCAAGCCTAGAAAAAGGGCTGAGCTAGACTCATTGCGACACAAGTGCCAGATGAGCTGATTTCCAAAGACAGTGCAAGAGAGGGGCAGGACTCATCTTTTTTATGGCAGACGGTTACTAGCACATCTTTCTCATAGAATCTTGCTCTGGATCACTAGAATGGGCTTATAATTTTCTCTTTGAATGAACTGATTCAGCATATATTTCTGCATCCTGATGTTGGCAGCAGCTAGGTGGTTCTCCCTTCTGTTTTGTGTTATCTCTTTGCTTTTACTCTTACCAACCTTTCTTTTGGTTTATCTCAGTTACTCATTTACAAAGCTTTTACTGGCCTTCTGAGTATGATTCTCCAAGGGCTTTTCCATTTTTCTCTGGCACCTTAATTCTACTGATATTTATCATAATTTGTCAGCATTGATATAGTTCCTTCCAGTAAGTACTCGCAACACTTCTGTTATTTGGTAGATTGTTATTTTTTCTGTGAAAATGGAAACAGCAGGAAAATATTTGGAAGCTGTAAGTTTTGTATTTCATTCTGAAACTGGCGAAATTCGTGTCCAGGTGCATCTGTATTCACACAGATACGTGTGAATTGATAAGGTCTAGTTTCTGAAGAAGGGCCCTTTCCTGTACTTAAGAGATATGCCTTAATGCAAGATGTACCACTGGATGAATTAACTGTAGTAAACTGAGACGGCTCAGGAAGAATATTTTCTTTAACAAGTAGGATTTTGAATTTCAGAAGTGACCAATCAGGTTATAAAGTAAGAATCACTAGATCAGCTCTAAGGTTTATGTAGGTCTCTCTCTGTACTAAAAGCTGACACTTGGGTAAAGTTCACAAAAAGCTGAGCAAGTATCAAGTTTTCTTTCTCTCACAATTCAGTTCCAGCTTCTAAAAGACATAGTGGTATGGTGTGAAGCTATTTCAGGAAATTGCCTAATATGAATTGTCTCAATGGGTCCTCATCAATCAAGCTTCAGTTCACAACTGAAACAGTGCATACCAGTTAATAGGGGTCATCTTTATATTTGGTTATATTTTCATTTAATAATATGGACTGCAGATCTCTTGCGGTTCTTAGAAATTATTTCATTTATTTGTTAGCTATTGTAGCAGTTTCTGGCATCAAATTCCAAAAAAAAAAGAATCCTGGAGTATTAAAAGTTGTAGAGCGATTTATAAGATGCAGACAGATGCCTAAATAAGTTAAAAAAAGAAATTTCATTGGTAAGATATAGTTCCTTTTCATTCAATTCTGTATTATAGGCTTGAAAAGGCTTAGGCAAAATCATTTATATTTATAGAATCATAGAATGTTAACAGTTGGAAAGGACCTTAATATCATCTCGTTCTAACCCTCCTGTGACAGGCAGGGACACCTCCTACTAGACCATATTGCTCAAGGTCCTGTCTAATCCAGCCTTGAACAAAGGCCTTCCTGCTAAAGAAAAGTATCACAGAGGTGTAATTTGTCTAAATTTGCATATCTTTTCTTTATGGCACAAATTCTGACTTATAAATATGCAGGGATTAAAGACTATGCTATGGAACACAACTGGCCCAACAGCATGTAGAAGGGATTTTAACTGAGAACAAAGCCAGAACAAGACGTTGGGATCAGTAGTTTGATGTAAAGCTGATTGTCCTGTGCTTTACATTTGTTAGCTCTGGCAGTGTCAGTTGTATTTAAGAGCTTCTTGCTGCTGTCAAGATGGCTTAGCAGAATTTGGAAAAAAAGTTATTGCCTGTGAAATGTTTTTTTCCCCTCCATTTCTGAGAATCTGAGCCTGAAAGATAGAAAATATATTTAGCCCCTTTGGCTGATCTTGCCCTTGCTTTCTTTTTTTCCAGGTAATCATTAATGTTGTATTAAAATAGACTACTTTTAGAAACAAGATGTCCAGCTTTCCTCTTTCATTTCCTAAATCTCTCAAGTAACAGGAACTAGATTTATTGATTGATGTAATGTCTTAATACCCTTTCTTCATAGGCTATTATGTGAAGGATTACAAAAAAGGGAATGTAGAATGATTCACCCCTATTAACGCAAGGAAGTATCAACACTGTAAAAACCTCTGGTCCTTTTGGGCTTAATATTCACAGAATCACAGAATCCCAAGGGTTGGAAGGGACCTCAAAAGATCATCTAGTCCAAATCCCCTGCAAGAGCAGGGTAACCTAGAGTACATTACACAGGAACTTGTCCAGGTGGGCCTTGAATATCTCCAATGTAGGAGACTCCACAACTCCCCTGGGCAACCTGTTCCAGTGCTCTGTCACTCTCACAGTAAAGAAGTTTCTCCTGATGTTCACATGGAACCTCCTATGCTCCAGTTTACACCCATTGCCCCTTGTCCTATCACTGGACATCACTGAAAAAAACCTAGCTCCATCATCCTGACACTCACCCTTTACATATTTGTAAACATTGATGAGGTCACCCCTCAGTCTCCTCTTCTCCAAGCTAAAGAGACCCAGCTCCCTCAGCCTCTCCTCATAAGGGAGATGCTCCACTCCCTTAATCATCTTAGTTGCCCTGCGCTGGACTCTCAGCTGAGGGGCCCAGAACTGGACACAATATTCCAGATGCGGCTTCACCAAGGCAGACTAGAGGGGGAAGAGAACCTCTCTTGACCTACTAACCACACCCTTTCTAATGCACCCCAGGATGCCATTGGCCTTCTTGGCCACAAGGGCACATTGCTGGCTCATGGTCATCCTCCTATCCACCAGGACCCCCAGGCCCCTTTCCCCTTCACTACTTTCCAGCAGGTCAGTCCCCAACCTGTACTGGTACATGGGGTTGTTCTTCCCCAGATGCAAGACTCTACACTTGCCCTTGTTGAATTTCATCAGATTTCTCCCCGCCCAGCTCTCCAGCCTGTCCAGGTCTCGCTGAATGGCAGCACAGCCTTCTGGTGTGTCAGCCATTCCTCTGTTCCCTGGAGTGAAATGTCTTAACTCAAGGACAACAGGGAGGCTTCTCAGTGATCCTGTTGATTTATCATTCTTTCTGCCTGCATTTTCCAGGCACTGCAGAGCTAGTTCTTCTTTGAACATTTTGTTAAAAAAAATGACCTGCAGCCTGGGTACCTACATTTGGCTTTTTTATCAAAGTCCCTTTCTGCATAAGAGATCTTCTCCTCTTCAGACCTTGAGGCTCGCACTGAGCAAGAGCCAACAGAAACTATTTTTTTTTACCTATGTTTCCTCTGATCTGCAGCTTTTTTTGATGAGTGGAAACATTTTGAACTAAAATTTTTGTGAACTATCTCACTGCAAGAGCAATTGGAATGAGGATGGGCTGTGGGGCTCTGTCCAAGTAGAACAGGACCCTTAAAATATTTTAAACAATATCATTTACCACACAAATCTTCCTACTTCCAAAGTAGTATTACAATGCAAGATTTATTAACAGCCTTTAACAAGCACAATGATTTCCTCTTACTCTCTGTGCTTGGATTTAATAAAGTGCAATGTATCTTAGCTGCATTGTTGCGTTGAGGCAGCAGTAGGGTACTGAATTGAAAAAAATGAACTATTTGCAGGGAACTTAGATTAAAAATATCATCTCTAAAGATTGTGGCAGTTTTGTGAAAGACTATCTGCTAATTACACAAAAGGTGCTTATAGCGACATAATTACATGATCTTCAAAATCTACAGCTTTTGTCACAAGGTAAGGCTACGATTCACCATTATTTCTTATCAGAAGCAATTGAGCATGAACTGTTCGGGTATTAGACCTTTGCCATACTCCTTTGAAAGTCTGTCCTTCCTAGCTATTGTAATTTGAAGGAAAGCAAAATAATTACTAACTTAATTATGTAATTTTTTCCATTAATCTTTAGATCACTGCTTATTAGATACTTAAAATTGTCATGCTGATTATTGGAATATATCAATGGAAACCTGAAACTGGTCATGTAGTTTGAAATAGTATTGATCAGAGGTGTGTTTATAATATCTTTAAAGCTTGTAGGCCTGATTCAAACAGAAGTTGTTGATTAATACTTAGGAAGGTAGTATGGTGCAGTGCTGCAAACTGTAAAAGATAAAAAACCACCAAACCTCCCTTCCACCCTGTCCCAACCTTTCAGGTGTTGTGGATGAGCACCAATTGTCATGCAGAGAGGGTGGTTATTGACATCTGAATTTTTTTATTTATTGTAGCTGACTTTGGTCTTGCAAAGCAAAAGCAAGAAAATGGCAAACTCGCATCCGTAGTGGGAACCATTCTGTACTCATGGTAAGTACACCTGCATACAACATCCAGTCCAGTGACATCCGTCTTCATGGTTACTTTTTTTGTGCAGGCAGACAGGTTTCAGCTGAGTAAGGAACAAGGTGCAAGTTGCCGACACACAGCTAATATGCAGTAGTTGGTTGCCTACCTATTTTTCTGTTGCGTATGGTGGTTACTGTGGGTTAACTTGGTGCAAAAATGAAGTTACTGTGGTTGTGTAGTAACTTATTCATCTATCTTTACACTTAAAGAAATGTGTTTTCAAGTTCTAAAAAGATATATGTAAACAATAGAAATTAATTTTAAAGGCTTTAATGTAATTGTGGCTTCAATGTTCAGCTACATTTTTATGTGTAGACAGTTTACCTTCTGGATTTGTTTTGTATCAGTAGGCATTTGGTTTTCGTAATTGAACTGAAAAAATATTTTCTGCTGTTTGAAATTTTCAGTGGTGGAAAAGCACAACACACGTTTGCAATTTAAGCTTAGTAAATACATAAATGACTGCTCTAAACCTTTGCCTTAGACAATACATTATTCAGTCTGCTGAATGAGCTGCAGTTTCCTTTGGCATCCCATCTGCAAGCAAGCCAAAGTGAGGAACCATGTTGTGTGAAATTACTGTACCAATATAGCTACCTAGGTTCCTAGATTGCTACTGCCTTGTGTTTTGTTTTCTCAAGAGCATAGAATACAAAGCATTTCCTATCCAAAGGTTCCCTCAATATGTGAACAGTTTACATAATTGAGAGTATTATATGCATTTCAGGTTCTCTCAAAAGTAATTGTGATCAGGTCAGAGTATGGATTTTTGTGTTGCATGATGGATAAATAACAAACATGCCTGTTAATTGAGGTTATGGTATTTGAACAGAAGGGAGCAAATGTAATCTGGGTAAAAACCCAAATTGTGGCAAGCACAAGCTCAGTATTCAGCCAATAGAAGTTCATGTGTTTTGGCCCTACCATTTGAGCTGAAAATTTCTGTTAATTGAAATGCTAACATCAGAAATCAATTAAGGAGTTGCTAATCTGGATCTCTCCATTTGCAGCATTATTGGTTAAACTTTGCCAACCCTAACTACTGAATTATTAAGGAAATATGTTTGCAATATGTTCAGCTGAAGCTTTGCAGATCCAAATATTCCTCATTCCTGCATGGGTTTGCTCCAGATTCTTTTAACGCCTTTTTACGTACAGCTGCTGTTCTCTCTCTTCAGGGTCACTCTGTTGCTTCTACTCAGTGTTGAGCTTGCTTACGGTTAGAAGTTGGTTTCCTTCTTTTAGTGACTTTCTGGTTCTCTTGTTCCCACTACTTTAAATTGCCACTTCTAGCTCCTGTAAATAAAGTGAAATTTATTTGGCATAGGGACTAGAAAAAGAAAACTACAATGAATGACACATAAACAAACCAAGAATGTTGCACAGCATGGAATGTATAATATTGTTTCCTGTTTTCATCAGAATTTTTAATTTACAAAATACATGCTAATAAGCAGGAAAACCTGTTAGAATGTTATATCCTAAGTAAAAGCTGGAAATGTTTTCATCCTAAATTTCTTATAAGACCACTGTACTGGCTGAGGCACTGACAGTATATTTCTCAGAAGTTTACAGGCATTTTTGATGCCAGTCTTCAATCTTCTTTTCTGCTGTGGTGACCACGTGATGGCCACATACCTTCAAGATTGCTTGGCCTGTGTGGCTGTAATAAGTAGTCAAAAGTTCCAGCCTGCTGGGGGAGCTACTGATGGCTCCTCTGAATTAAAAGAGAGAGTCAAGAACTCAGGTATTCTGCAGTTGAATGTAACTCATGTTGCCACTTTTGAGATTGCTACTTGTGATTTCCTACTGGCAGAATGATAATGTCTGACAATCCCTAGAAATCATGAAATCATAAAATGACTTCAAGAGTGAGTCCTTGTAATGTGTATTACACCTTGAAGACTAATGCTTATGCTGCTGCTTAGTGAGAAAAAGTAAATTGCTTGGGAGGCTGCCTCAGCTGGGAGGCTGCAGTCAAAATACTCCTGAAGCACAGCACAGTGATATGTTTGAAGCATATCATAGTGCGTATCAGCAGATTTCACTGCTGATCACTGTGCTATCAGCAGAGTGATCGTTTGGGTGGCTAAGTGTAGTAAAAGTTTGGTGTAGCTAGTTATGTGCTATGGTTTTCAGCTCCTCTGAAATAATTGATTTGTTTTGTTTAGTCACAATTGAGCCGAGAAGCTGCTGACAAGAAGTTATTTTGCTCCTTTGAATAACGGGTATGAGTGAACTATCTGCAAATTAGATTAGTCTTTAGAAGTGTCAGTTTCCAAACTTGCCACTGATGTCTGTGTGTCTTCTTACATTTTATAGGATATTTTTATTAGATAGTAATGTTCTGTAGATTGATACTCTTTTAATTATATTTTTCTTGTTTTTTGTCTTTGTTCATACCACATTTAGTATTGTTTATACCCTGTGTTTGTGTATTGAAGTTCATATCAGACCTAAGAATTGGCACTTCTTTTTCTTCCTCTTTGTCCAATTATTTGGATGTAAGCATGAGGAAAAAATACCACTTGCATGTTTTAGTCTCTCAGTAAGTGGCCTTTTGGGACACTACTTGTCAGTTCTGTTCCACAAGCAAAATCATGGAAGCAGGGATCCTTGCCTGTCAGCAGTCAGAAAAGAGAACAAGAGTACTTTACTGATGTTTTTGTATTTAAAATGTATGCTTGAGTAATATCTAAAATGACAGGCTAAAGCATTAATGTTTCCACAGTCATAATAATTTAAGAATGTTAAAAAGGCTTTGCAAGCTGCTGAATGCACTGGATGCCATCCTTCAGGGTACTTGGCTGGTACTGTGTGTGACAGTGGGCTTTTTGATATGGAAACCTGCTCGCAGAGTAAGGTGAACTGATTGAGAATTTTAACACAAGTCATGAAGCATGTAGACGAGTCAGAGGCTATAGACTTGATCAGTGCTTGTACTGATTGATTTAAATGACTGAATGATTTAAGTGCATGTGAAGGGCTATAAAATAATCAAAATATCGGTAATGCATGTCTACCAAGAGCAGCAATATTAGTTCCTGCATTAAAAAAAAGGGGGAAAAGAAAGAGCTGTGTCATTTTAGAGTGGCAGAAATAGCTTTCTTCTGAATAGACAGGTCAATAGTTCTGGGTAGTTGGAGAAGGAGCCCACCCTTCCTGGAGCAGACAATATAGTCTATACATATCACTGTATGTACCAAACATGTTTGTATTTGGGGTTGAATGAATAAATTTGCTAATGCAATTTTTTTTAAAACTGTGTCACCATAAAATACTATCAGACACTGTTTTGTGTTTAGAGAGGGACTTATATGAGTATGCTTTGTAGTTGTGATGGTTTTTAATTCTACTTCGTACTCTATTTCATCTTACTATCGTACTAATTAAATTCTTTTAAATCGGTTATGTTGTTGAATTAAAAAAACAGCAATGTGTATGTTTAGAATATCAAATGTATTAAATGGATGTGTTTACACTTAATACATTAAAAATTGAAGAAAAGACTGCTTTAAGGAATTGGTAATGAATTCTGAAGTCTTTTTCTAGCTAATAAGTCACCAGAAACAATCTGCTCCAAGTCAGTGGTGACAGTCTTTATTATCGTGCTGTCTCAAAGGCCTTCCCAGAAGAAACGCTGCAAATTGTACATGGTTATAGAGAATTATGTTTCCTTTCACATATATCTGCCATTTATTTGTTTCACAAAAGGGATTATAACTTATGAAGGGGACATTCTGTCTACAGATCATGAGATTGTTCAGCCTGGAGAAGAGAGACTCTAGGGAGACCTTACTGCAGCCTTTCAGTTCTTAAAAGGGGCTTATAAGTAAGTCAGGGAGAGATTTTTTATCAGGGCATGTTACGACAGGATGAGGGATGATGGTTTTAATATAAAAGAGGGCAGATTCAGGCCGGATGTGAGGAGAACATTCTTTACAAATGAGAGTGGTAAAATACTGTCACAGGTTCCCCAGATAGGTGGTGGATGCGCCATCCCTGATGACATTTAAGGCCAGGCTGGATGTGGTTCTGGATAACCTGATCTAGTTGATCTAATTGAAGATGTTCCCCACCTCAATGCGGGTGAGGGGGTGGACTAGATGACCTTTAAGGTCCCTTCCAGCTCAAACTATTCTAAGATTCTATGACATAAATAAAAGTTAGCGGAGTAATGGTTACAATAACTGCCTCAGGTATCATTAAGAAGTAGGTGAGAATGTTCCACGTTCCTGAACTAACTTGGTCTTTCTGAAACACAGTTGTTCTAAAATGTCAGAAAACTGATACATGGAAGAAATTTGTGTAACATTTGGCTTTTTGTGCTGAGGTGTTTTTTCTTCATGGTGTTTTGAGGAAATTCTCATAATAGTGGAAAATGTGGGGACTTCTATCATTGTTATTGAAACATTTTTTTTTTTTTTTTTACAGAGATAAATACAGATCTCTTCCTGCTTTCTTTCTGTTTCACATCATTTCCAGTTTTACTCCCACGTATAATACTATATAATAATAATGGACTTGGTATTAAGTAAATTGTTTTTTTACAGTTTTTGCACAGAACAATCATTTTTGTTGTTACAATAACTTAATGATAGAATAAGAGAAAGCACATGCCACTGTAACCCAATACAGTTCTTGTACTATACAGAGACATTATTAAAGTTAAGCACCAGAGCAATAAGTGGCCATGTCTCATTAGAGAAATGTTAATACTGATTTTTTTAAGGCTCTGCCCTCCTCTTTTTACCTTTTCCTATTTTTTGAAGTAGTAGATTCACTATCGACTTCAAGGAATGGCAGGCCAGTTGTGGCTTAAGAATTACTGGAAGCAGCATGAGGTGTGTTAGGCATCTGACTGAAAGAACAGCCATGTCAAGAAGTAACTAACAAGTAAGAGGCCAAACGTTTGTAATACTCTTATAGAATAACTGAAATCAAGAAAATAATTAGAATAA